CCCGTAACCCAGTCCTGTGAGCTCCGCGTCTCCGCCGCCACCTGCTCCCGCCCGGCCGGATCGGATCCGAGCCCGAGTATGGAACCCGGACAGCCTAGGGAGGCCCGCGAACCCGGGCCAGGGGCAGAGACCGCCGCGGCCCAGCGCTGGGAGGAGTCCAAGACTTTCTATGACAATCTCTCGCCCAAGAAGAAACCCAAATCGGTAAAGCAGGGCTTGGGTTTGGGGAACACTGGAAGGGCCACTTCCAGGAAGGGGTCTCAAGCTCTCTGGAAAGGACTCGCGGAGCCCCTCCCGGAGGGAGGAACACTGCTCCTCTGCCCCAGAATGTGCCCGGCAGTTGGCTCAGGCTCCAGTTTATTTTGGGAGCTCTGCTCTGGTAGCAGTGGTTGTTTCCCCCATCCCGGGCTCAGGTTCCATGCCAGGATCCCCCTCCCCCATGCTGTCATCAGGGACCTATCCCCTCCCGGCATTGGCGGCCTCGGACGCGCGGACCGCACTTGTTGGCAGAGGTGGTCAGCAATCCGGGCAGCAGAGCCCCGGGCTCAGTAACTCGACTCTGGAAACCCGGCTGTTCTCTGTGCTCTCAGTTCTCCAGGGTCTGTGAGGCCACTTCGGCTTCAAACCCAGGCGCTTGGGCTCTAACTGGAAACCCAGACCCTGGGATCAGAGGGGTCGCTCTCCCTGCATTTTAAAGAAACTGCTACTTGCTCCAGGCTCAGAGCTTTGCTACCAGGCTCTGAGCTCCCAATGCCAGGCTTTACACCTTAGACATTGCTTCTGATTCATGGTGGGCATTAACATACAGAAGTCAGAGTGGTGGCATCAGCCCTTTGCAGCTTCACACAGAGGCAAGAATTCCTCTTCCTCTAATGGACCAATTCATGACCGCGGCCTTGTTCATGCCACCACCTTGGACCTAATAGCTGTCCTTAAAGCATCCCACCGCTTCGCTCCAGTGACTTTACCCAGGAGGCCACTCTATCCACCGTCACCTCGAGGCCTTTAGTCATTCTGGTGACTGAGATATTAAGCTGTGCCCTGCCTGTCTCAGTAGTTTGCTGTGTGCCCGGGAGGCTATAGAGATGGTGGATGCTCAGGTAAAAGATCCCATTCAGTACTGTGGGAGTATAGGGGAGGTGGTGACTCCTACCAGGAAAGCTTTGGGGAAATGGCATTTGAACTCATCTTAAAGCATCAGTGGGTGTGGCCCCTGAGGCAGAAGGGGAAAGAATGGGCAAAAAGCAAGGAGCTGTCTTTGAAGCTGAGGACCTTGTTCAGAACCTGCACTGAGTGGGAAAGGCAGGTTTGTCGGGAGAAGTCTTACAAGGACCCAAAAAGTCTCCTAGCCCAGGGACAGCCCTGTCAGGATGAAGGGGCCTGGACCTTATTTACTGGGGTTGAGGCTTTCACACTGGGTTCTGTGGTGCCCTATGTCTCAGGAAGTCTTCAGATCTGTGAATCCAATTTATTTTTTTCCTTCTTAAAAAATACTTTAAATAACTGAAAAAAGCGGCTTTTCCCATTTTCAAGTGGTGTGAATCAGGGCCTTCTCAGGACTGTGCAGAAACATAAAAATAAATTGGCTGGATACTGAGGGTTAAGTCTGTGGCAGTGCCCTAAATGCTGCTTTCAAATGCATTGTTACTCAAACTGTTGTATTCATTGGTTAGCTTTGTAACAAATACATTCATGTAGATAGGTTGGTAGGAGGTAGATATCACATCTGAATTGTAAAATAACTTAAAGCAATTATATAGTTGGCTAATATTACATATTGGGTTTCTGCCTAAGAATTCTTTTGACTAAAAGGTCACTTACCTTTTAAAAATATGAAAATCATAATGGGATTGTTGCAGGATCTTTTTTTTTATTTTTAGCATGGATTAACTTGTTTCCACTTTCATTTTATAAAGATGATGCTGGGCTGTTTACTGGGTGGATTGGAAAGGTTGGGTCTGGCCGCAGTCCTGCCAGTGAGGTAGCCAAGCTGTGCTAATGTCCTGCCTGAGGGGTGGGGAGGAGATGGAAGCTGAGAACCAGGAGTAAATCTTCAGTGTTCAAAAATCCGTTTCCTCCCCGAAGCATCTGAGAACCAGGCCATGGTGGGTCACGGCCCCTTCGTCAGTCTGATTAGGTGACATTCCCAGCCCCTATTCCTTCCTGTCATAGCCCCTCTTCCCACAGGCTATTTTTGGGGGTTGCAAGCCTTATGGGTCCATCGGGGCCTGGCCTGGACTCATTTTAATTCCCAGGAAGTTGAGTAAAATATTTAACCTAGTGAAGGCCATCAGAGGCTCTCACCCAGAGCTATCCTATCCTCCTCTCACCCAGCATCCCTCCTATGTCCTTCCAGAAATAGCAGTTCGTTTGGCTATGTTCCTATCTTGAATGCAATAGACAGATTGCTGGTCTAAGTGGGAGCTCCTCAGGCAGGCCAGTGGCACTGGGCTACCCTCTGTTAATTCTTCACCTTCACCCAGAAGCCACAGTGAAGCCACAGTGATCAGCCTGCATCTCAGAGAGATGATAAGATCATGGCTCCCTACAGCTCAGCACTCTCAGGCTGAGCCCCTCGGTTGTTCTGACCCAGTTCCCAGCCTGGAATGGACAGTCTGATTTTGGTGCACATCACAACAGAGACCTGGCCAGGCACAAGATGGTCAGTCTACAAGGGCTCGGCTTCTCTGGGATCTAGATAGACCTTGTCACCCATTTCTTCAGACACATTTGGAGGCTGGACAATCAACCATTGGTGCTTATGTTGTATCAGAGTGACTTGAGTAGGAGACAGAGGCCTGTGCTGGGGACTGTCACTCTTCAGGGGAAGAGTGGCCCACCATGAAACATCACAGGATGGGGACACAATGCTTCTCATCATTTCTCCCAAATATAGAAAGGGAACCTGGGTTGTGTCCTGGGAAGTTGTTGAAGGAACAAAAGGTGGGACTTTCTGGGAGAATCATACCAGGGAGGCTGTTATGTAGACAGAGGCCAAACTAAAGGCTAGAGACTTGAGAGCTCATCTTGACTTTTTTGTGCAACCTAGAGTAACAACCTGACCCTCTCTAGCCCTGGTTCCTCATCCATGAGAGGGAAGTAGACACTCCTGAGGCCATGAGTAGGATCTGATGGATTTTGGAGAATCAAGGTCCAGCAATCTGTCAGGGATGGTGAGGCAGAAAGTGAAGAACAAGGCTTTGGCTGGCTGCATGGGTGGAGCCAGATTCAGGAATTGCCTGAAACAGATGGAAGGCAGTGGATTCTCGGCCTTTGCAGGAATGACAGTTCTGTCTCTAAAGCTCCCAAGTGCTGATGAGGTTGAGAAATGGCCCAGTCCCATATGGACATACAGACACACAGGTGGTCAGAAACTGGCCAAATTGGGTTGAACCTCAGAGGAGAGGCACCTATTGTCTTCCATTGGCCCTCCTGGTCACTTACACTATCTTGGCTGAAGTTAAAAGCCAAACACAAGCTGTGGTCAACTATACAGCTTTGCAGAAATCTTTGTTTTTTTCATTTCCATTTTGAGGCTCTGAAGCTTCACTGGCTATTAATCACAGGAAAACTGCTTAAATTCATTAAAATTAAGTGAATTTCGGGACAGGGGATGACTCGGTTGGTAAAGTGCCTGGGGCACAAGCACAAGGAACTGTGTTTAGATCTTCAGCAGTTCAATCAAAGCCACGTATGGTGGTGTGCATGAGTCAGTGGGTGGAGACGTATCTCTGGAGCTCAGGGCTCACTGGCCAGACAGTATAGCCAGTCAGTGTGCTCCAAGCTTAGTGAGAGACCCTGTCTCAAAAAACACAGTGGAAGGCAATAGAGGAAGATGCTGACATCCACTTCTGGGCTCCACACATGAACACGAACTCACACATACACATATTTGTTTTTTAAAGCAAAGTTAGATTTCAAATCTTCAGCATCACCTCTCACATTTGAAGTTACTGCACAACCAAACAGCACAGTTTATAGAGCATTTCCATGAAGGCCCAGCTTTTAGAACTGTCCAGGTCACAGAGAAGTGGTGGCCATACATTCCCTACACACCCATAGTACCAGTTTCTCCAGCTGCTGTCCATGGTGGCATGCGCCTCTCCCCATCTCCTAAATGATGTCATGAATCTCTGCATGGAGAATGGGTCAGAAGCTCCTTGGGGGCAGAGATCAAACCTATCTTGCTTCCTAACATGTCCCCAGCTTAGCATCACTCAATGCTGCCAATCAATTGGAGCCTAGCAGTGGGAAGAATAAATCATCCACAAGATTATCATGAACAAGCCAGAGTGTTAGGTCCGCTTAGAAGTCTTGGCTTCAATTTGAGCCCCTCTCTTCTCATCTGTAGAGGATCATGACCCTAGGACTGTCACAGTCACAGAGAAGTGGTGTCCATGACCTCCCTGAACACCGATATTCTGATCCTGCCCAGAAATCAGTCAGGGTCCAGCTGCTGTCCATGGTGGCATGCTCCTCACCCCATCCTATCCAAGTCAGATGTCTTGTCCCATTTGGGTTACTGTATCAGTGTGCCACAGACTGAGCAACTTACACTGTCAACAATAGAAATTTCTTTCTTGCATTTTAGGAGGCTGGGGGTCCAAAATTAAGGAGCCAGAAGACTGGGGTTCTCTTTCTGGTTTAAAGATGGCAACGTGTAGCTATGTCCTCACATGGTGGAATAGTTAGGGCAAACTCTGCTGACTTTTTTTTTTTCTAAGAAAAGCCCTAACCACTCTCAAGGGCTCTGCTCCTTAATACGATCACATTCAGGACCATGGTTCAACATGATATTTGGGGGAATACATTCAGATACAGCATTTGGGAAGAAGTGCTAAGGCCCCTTTGAAATCCAGCCCCTGCCTATTCTTCTGGCTCATTTAACTCTCCCCTGCCCTGGCCTTTGTTCACTTTTGTGAAGGCTTTGGGTTTGTGCTCACTAATTCTCGTGGCCTCCTCCTTCAAGGTCTTCCCCAAAAGCCTTCTCTCCCAGTGACTTCCCCTGAAGCCAGTCATCAAGACCCTGCTTTGGCCTTCTGTCACGCATTCCCAACCCTGTGCCTCTTCCTTCTGTCCACCTGTCTTTTCCCCATGCCCTGATGAGCTCTGCGGGCAGGGGCCATGTATGCCTTCTAGAACCCTTCCACAGAAGTTTCCTCAGCAGACTCCGTAGAGGAAGCAACTGAAGTGGAGATCCACAGTGAGGGCACTCACTCACTAGACAGAGGACATGGGAAATAGTACAGTCAGCAAGGGAACCTCATGCTCAAAAGCCAGAGGACAAGGGGAAGCTGTGCGAGGACATGAAAAAGGTGAGACTGAGCACAGCTGGGGAAGGGAAGCTGGCCGCAGGTAGGAAGCAGAGGTCTGTTGTTGTGAAGGACTTCTTGCTCTGTAGGAAAGGCTGTCTGCTTGCCTCTGTACCACTGATGAGGTGGGCCGCAATCATGTCTGCACTTTAGGCAGACCTTCTCTGTAGCGGGTAGAGGCGATGGTGGCTTGGGCTGCGGAAGAGAAGAAGAAGTTGGTGACTGCCAAGTATGGGTGGCTTGGACACTCAAATCAATGGTGAGGGGAGTGGGGAAAGAGGAGGGGGTGGATGTTTCCTGCCTGGCTTCAGCTGTCTGCTCATGAAATGGCAATCTGGATGAGTAGATGGTGGCGCTGAGCACAAGATGTGGAAAATCGGGGGCTGGAGAGATGGCTCAGAGGTTAAGAGCACTGACTGCTCTTCCCAAGGTCCTGAGTTCAACTCCCAGCAACCACATGGTGGCTCACAACCATCTGTAATGAGATCTGGTGCCCTCTTCTGGTGTGCAGATATACATGGAAGCAGAATGTTGTATACATAGTAAATAAATAAAAAAAAAAAGATGTGGAAAATCAGGTGGGGATGGGGGGGGGAACTCAGCCTAGGGCACTGCAAGTTGGGTTGTCTGTTGGTCTGTTGGTTGACTGGGGCAGTTAGGTATGTGAGCCTGCAGCTCAGGAAGCAGGTCCAGGCTAGAGATAAAAAAATTTTTTTTCTTATATAATTACTGTGTTTCTGGGCACTAATTTCTTCCTGGGGACATGTGGCTCTTCTTTCATAATGGAAACATTTGGGCGTCATCTCAGTGTGGTCATACTTTGGCTATATACACTGTGCTCATTTTTCTGTGGTGTCCTGATGACCAACAATATTGCGAGCTCCCTGAGGGCATGCCCCTCCTCCCCGTCACACTCCTAAATAAGGGGCCAGTCTTCAGCAGAATCCAGCCCAGAGTCTGCCTCTACCCAAGGCTCACTTTCTTTGAAGCAGAGCCTTGGGGGTCCCTGGGTCCAGGAAGGGCTTTCACAAGCGCGGCTGCCTCCTGGTGAGTCTGAGTAATGGCCTGTCCTACTGTCCCTCCTATAGCCAAAGCCTCAGAACGCAGTCACCATCGCCGTGTCCTCCAGAGCCTTGTTCCGCATGGACGAGGAGCAGAGGATCTACACGGAGCAGGGTGTGGAGGAGTATGTGCGCTACCAGCTGGAGCACGAGAACGAGCCCTTCAGCCCCGGGCCGGCCTTTCCCTTTGTGAAGGTGAGGAGGCAGGTCCCGAAGGAGCCCACACGGTGCCTTTGCTAGAAGCTCTGCCTGGCAGGGGCAACCCCACAGCTAGAGGCCTGAGACTTGGTGGGAAGAGGAGGCCACCAGGCTCAGGACTGATGGAGCCCCAGAATGGGTAACCAGCTTGAGGATCGATCCCTTCCACCATTAATAAAGTGCTTCTGAGTAGTGAACAACCCACCCAAAGGTGGAAAATGGCATTAGGAGATAGTGTGCACAGATCTTATTCCAAACCAAGCCTGTCCCTAGCGCCCCCCCTTTCTCACTGGGTCCCTGGCCACCAACTCTACCCATCAATCCCTGGGACTCTGAACTGGACTTTGCGCTCTCCCTTCCAGGCCCTGGAGGCTGTGAACAAGAGACTTCGGGAGCTGTATCCCGATAGCGAGGATATTTTTGACATAGTCCTCATGACCAACAACCATGCTCAAGTGGGAGTCCGTCTCATCAACAGTATCAACCACTATGGTAGGCATGAGGGGGATGACCATGGGATGCCCCTACCACAAACGCCCCCTGGGGGAAGGCCCCACTTCTGCAAGGTCAGGCTGGGTCAGGCTCTACAGACCGCCACCCTAACTAAACCCAGCGATGTTCTACTAACCTGGCATTGAATTGAGTTTTTTAACCTTGTCTTTTAAAACAAGTAAGACTGGGGCTGTAGTCAGACTGGTAGAGTGCTTGCCTAGTAGGCAGAAAGTCCTGGGCTCAATCTCCAACGCTGTATAAAAACTAGGTGTGGTATTGCATGCATCTGATGCCTTCACTCAGGAGATGAGGGCAGGACAATCAAGAATTCAAAGTCTTCCTTGGTTACATAGTGAGTTCAAGGTCAGCCTGAGATACATGAGACCCTGTTTTAAAACAGACAGACAGACAGACAAGGAGCTGGGAACATGGCTTAATCGGTGGAGTGTTTGCCTGGCATGCATGTTGTCCTTGGTTAGATCTCCAGCACTGCATTAAAAAGCAAACAACATACAAACTGTCATGCCAGCATGTGTGCCATCAGAGAAATGGAGGCAGAGGACCAGTAGCAAATCTTCAGACACACAGTGAGTTTAAGGCCAGCCTAGGACACACATGACCCTGTCTCAAAAAAATGAAATAAAAACAAGACTGCAATGCTGTGTGTGTGTGTGTGTGTGTGTGTGTGTGTGTGTGTGTGACACACCTTTAATCCCAGCTTTTGAGAGGCAGGGGTAGGTTGATCTCTGAGTTCAAAGCCAGCCTAGTCTACAGAGTGAATTCCAAGACAACGAAGGGCTACATAGAGAAAAACCTTGTCCAGAAAAACAAAAGGCCAACAAAAACCTGTAAAAATAAACAAAAAAAAAAAAACTGATTTGAAATGCTGCCAGTTTACAGGTTGTCGTCCATGGCCAATTTCTGGCCACCCATGGTTGGTCATCATAACTGGCTCATAAAATTCCTGGATATTTAATAGCTGACTCTTGCAAGCCGGCACAAGCCAGCTACAGCCCACACTGCACAGGCCTCGCTCCCCATGTTACAGGGAAAGGTGTTTACTGCTTCTGTCTCAGTTTCTCTAACTGTAGGAGACTAGCAAGCCTCATGAGGCCAATGGGAGGTCAGGGGAGATCAGGGGCTGTTCAGACTGAAAGGATGCTTCTCTTTTTGGTTCAGTTAGATTGTAAGTTCCAAGTCTCTCTGAGCAAGCTTCCAGCAAAGGGAACCATTGTCAGTTCCAGCATGACTCAGAACCACAGAGCAGGAAGTAAAATTGGACCCAGAGAGGACAGGATCCAAGTCTTGGCGATCTCTCTTGGGTTTGTATTCTCCCTGGGCCAAATGGGCCTTTGTGCTTCTTTAGCAAGCGAATTCCTTGTTTTCATCTCTAACTATAATTTCAGGAAATCTGAACACTTCTAGGCCCTCTTCTGGCCTCCACAGGCACCAGGCATGCACATGGCGCATACACACACATGTAGGCAAAACAGATAACATTTCTTAAAAAGGAGAAACCAGGAGCTGGAAAGATGGCTCATTGGTTAAGAGCACTGGCTGCTCTACCGGGGTTCAATTCCCAGTACCCACGTGGCAGTAACTGTCTATAACTCCAGTTCCAGGAGATCTGACTCCCTCACACACACATACACGCAGGCAAAACACCAATGTACATAAAATAAAATAATTATAAAAAGGAAAAATCATCAACACCAACCCACCTGTCTTTATAGCTTTACAAGGTCTTGTTTCAAGCCAACAATAACCTAGTTAAGGTGTTTATTTTAAATTATTTAATTTTGATACAGGATCTTACTGTCTAGCCCAGGCTGACTTCAGACTTGAAAGTCCCTTGCTCTAACCTTCCCAGTACTGGTATTTCAGACATTGTAGACACATGCCACCATTTCTTTTTCTTTTTTTCTTTTGAGAGAGGGTATCTCTATTTAACTCCAGCTGCCTAGCACTTGCAGAGTTCTGCTTGTCTTTGCTTCCTGAGTCCTGGGATTAAAAACATGTGCCACTATGCCTAGCTTCACTTCCTTTGTAATTTTTTTAAACCTGTGTGCATATGTGTGTATGTGAGTGAATGCCACACCACCTGTGTGATGGTGACTTTGAAGATCAGAAGAGGTATCAGATTCCTTGCAACTGGAGTTACAGACAGTTGTGAGCTGCCACATGGATGCTGGGAGCATTTTGTAATTTCAAATTTCTGACAGTGAGGGTGAGGTTAACAATATTTAAGCACAGGTTCTGAGCAATCAGAATAGGCAGTGCTCCATGCTTGAGTAGGGCCCTGGGAGACCTCTGTGCGGTCAGGTATTAACCTTCCCTGTGTGGACTGTGAGGAGGACGACAGTCCCATAGAAGGCACTCGGGTAGTGGCTGAGGATAGCAGTCACTTGTCACAGCTTTTGCAACCATGAGAGCAAGCTACCCAGGTTGGACTCTGATTGGCTCAGCTAGGTCCAGAGTCTGCCCCTATCCAATCAGCTATGACCAGGAAGATAGGGTCTGAGTGGGAGGGGTGCTGTGAGCCAGATGCTTTCTCCAGATGTGTGATCCCGATTCATTCCCTCGAGGAAAGATGCAGGGGAAATGTTAGGCTGAAACAGAGAGTCACTCTGCTGCCCCAGCACTCAGATTCAAGGTGGTTCACACTAGGCGCAGAGTCCATTCTGGGCTCTGAAGTTTGACCCTGGCCTCATCTGGGGACTCTCTACCTCCACAGACCTGTTCATCGAGCGATTCTGCATGACAGGTGGGAACAGCCCCATCTGCTACCTCAAGGCCTATCACACCAACCTCTACCTGTCAGCTGATGCGGAAAAAGTGCGAGAAGCCATTGATGAGGGTAAGTCAGAACGAGGAGGGAGAATAGAGGAACACTTCCCCAGACATAAAAGGGTCCCAGTGTAGAGAAGCCTGGTCCTGAAGCTCTGAACAAGTGCTGGGGTTGCCAAGGTAACTGCAAGGGGATACATTCCTATGATCTGTCTTGTAAAGTGAAAACAAAGCCCTACCTAATCCTCCTTCCCATCTCCTGCCCCACAGTGTACATTCATCAGCATCACCTAGCCCTCTGTTTCCATAGAAACTTGCGTTACAGCCCAGAATGCTACTGTTTTCCAAGATTCCTCTGGGCTGATGGGAGTTCTGATTCCTATGTGATCAGGAAACTTCTATCCATCACTGGGCCAATGAGAAAGAGGGAAGGTCCATATTTAGCCCAGCCTGAGTGGTAGGCTTTCAGAAATGGTCATCTTCCACAGCTGGGCTGGCCAGTGCTATGGTGAGATTAGGGGACTCTTGATAATGAAAAGTCCATTCTCTGTTCCCCTTTCAAGGGGCAGTTTGGGGTGACAGACATGGTCTCAGTCCTCCCAACAGGAGCCCACAGAGGAGGGAAGACTGACTGCCCATTTGCCTGGATGTGTACTCAGGCTGGACACTCAGGTTTCCTCTGTTAACTGCCCTCTTTTCCTTTCCTTGTAGTCCCTCTGTAGGTGAGGCTTTCTCTAATCAGGACCCAGAGGGCATTTCCTTAAACACATCACACCCTTTGTTTGGGGTTTGGGAACTAACTAACCTGCAGGTGTGCCTCTGTGCATGTGGAATTTGACTTTTGGTCTTGGGAGTGTGGTTAGATGGATTTCCTGCTCAGAACAGGGTGCTTCTGGGTCATCTTGGCATTAGGTTGACAGAGTTGAGAAGGTACATAGCCTGATACTCAGGATGTAGTCCTACCCTGGGCATCCTTAGGCTAGTGAAGCTGCTGTCAGACCTGTACTGATAGCTCTTGCCAGAGCTCTGTGGAAGTCTACCTCGGTGATCCTAGATTCCCAAGGAGCAGGGTAGAAGAGTCCTGTAGAGAGATGATAACTATTGAGGGGGATTCAGCTGATTTTAATCTGGAGTCTTGGTCCCTGACTGGTGTCCTTGCATTGCAGTAGAACAGTGGTTGCAGAAAGTCTATACATAGTATCACAAGTAGCTTATATTGTCTCCCAGGACCGAGCACATTATCTCACAGTCTGAACCAATGTGACAGCAGTGTACCTGGGTGCTGGGTGGCTGAAGACAGGGTGTCCACACCCACCCATCTCTACTGCAGCCTGAGGGCTCAGCCTCATACAGACCTGAAAGAACCCTAATTTTACCTTGGCCCAGAGAAAGTATATAACTTGGAACCAATAGCGAAGGAGTGGCTGCGTCTCAAGGTGTGCTTCCCTGTCTGCTGCAGGTCCGTCTGGGGTGAAGAACTCCAAACAGAACAGGGTGGTAGCAGTCCTGTGCTCCCAGCCAAGACTGTTGTTTGGCTAGTCCATACCAGCATCATCATCAATGTTAAATTGTTCAAATTTTTTCATGCTGGCTGATAAATAGCTTTTCAGTGTCCTGCTGCCCAGGGACACCCCCAGAGCTCTCCACGAAGATATTAACGAGGTGGCCTTTAGACCTTGATGGGTACCCTCAAAGCTATAGCTGCTGCGTGTTCTTGTAGCCAGTACTCACGGACTACCGATTTTAAAATGTCCTCAATATGATGAGTCCTTGTTAGGCTTGCCTTCAGTCCTGGGGAAGCTGGTGGAGCAAGGACAGCATGAGATACCTTCTCCTGTCTCCTGGAAGACAACACTTACCTCTCTGTGTGCAGGGATTGCAGCTGCCACCATCTTCAGCCCCAGCAGGGACGTGGTTGTGTCCCAGAGTCAGCTCCGCGTGGCCTTCGATGGGGACGCAGTACTCTTCTCTGATGAGTCAGAGCGCATTGTCAAGGCCCATGGGCTGGACAGATTCTTCGAGCATGAGAAGGCCCATGAGAACAAACCTTTGGCACAGGTGCTGCGCATTCCCAGAACCCCTGAGTAGCCCTCATTCCCCGGAACCTGGCCTGGCCTGAACTCCCAGGTCAGGGCCAAACCCTGGCTAAGCCCGCATCCCCACCAGGTCCTCTTACCAAGACTCAAACCCCCACTCCCCCACACCCATCTCTGCCTTAGGTTTTTCAAGGCAGGGCTTCTCTGAGTAGATCTGCCTGCCTCTGCCTTCTGAGTTCTAAACCTCTCTCTCACTTGGCCCCAGGGTCCTTTCAATGACTCTGCCCCTTCACTGAGTCCCACCCCTCATGCAGTCTCCTTCCCCGCCTCTTGGGGCTTCTAAAGTCTCCCCAAGCATCTCTCTGAAGCCTCCCCTGCCTCCCTGCTTTGTTCCTCCAAATCCCTTTCTAAGGTCTCATCTCCTTTCAGAAGCCCCACACCCATTCTGAGTCCCCACCCCTCCCTAAAACTCGGAGTCACACCCCCAATCCACTGTCCTTTCCCTGTAACCCTCAGCTCTTCCCTCAAGATCCCCTTGTGAGCGAGCACCTACCCCCCAGAAGCCCATGTTTCCTTCACTGGGAGACAAGAAGAACTCTATTGTACTGGTGTGGGGAGCTGGGCCAGTGGCCTTGGGCCACCTCTTGCCATGCCTTGCTTAAGTGGCTCAGGGAGCCTCACCTACCCTCATACTTCTCAATTGCTCTCTGAGAACAGAGCCTGTCTTGGAGCTAAATTCCCTGTAGATGGAGCATTGGGATTCTCCAGCCCTACTGGGAACTCCAGTTTGAGCTTTTTAGAAATCTAGGTGCCCAGGGCAGGACACTTTTCCCCCTGAGTGGTTGATAGAGAGCTGCCAGAGGAACACTGCTTACCCCAGGTTACCCAGTTAGGACCCCCCCCCAAGACTAGCAGCCCATTTTCCTTGTTTCCAGTTGCTTTGGAAATGAGCTACATTCTATCCCGTTAAGTTCTTTATTCACATACCGGCAGTACCTCCATTGCTGTGGACACTTTCCCTGACCCCAGGGACCTTGAGCCACATGTGGGTCTGTCTGTCCACAGGCAGGCTCACATTCAGTAGCCCATCTGGCCCAGATAGTCACATATAGAGTCCATTCTGGCTGGCAGGCTCCCATGACATCATTACTAGCTAGTTTAAATTCCTTCTTTGCTAATGAACACAGACAGCCACACTTACAGGACAGATCGCTGAAGGAGACGTGGATAGATAAGCCTAGCAACAGTTGCCCTGGTTATGGTTATTCAGACACAGCCCCAATCACGTTAAGACAGACTCCAGACTACAGGTACCTACAACCCTGTATGTTGTAGCCAGAAAGGCAGAGCAAAACTACCAAAAGATTTAGGGATTTCCCACCCCAACAGCCAGTCACTTGTGCTTTAGGATGAGAGGGCAAGTGTTTAGGAGAGGGTATCTTACAGTATCTCCTTAACTCCACAGGGCCCCCTGAAAGGCTTTCTGGAGGCACTGGGTAGACTGCAGAAGAAATTCTACTCCAAAGGCCTGCGGCTGGAGTGCCCGATTCGCACTTACTTGGTGACAGCTCGCAGTGCAGCCAGTTCTGGGGCCCGGGCCCTCAAGACCCTGAGAAGCTGGGGCCTGGAGACCGACGAGGCCTTATTCCTAGCCGGAGCACCCAAAGGCCCCCTTCTTGAGAAGATCCGCCCACACATCTTCTTTGATGACCAGATGTTCCATGTGGCTGGGGCCCAGGAGATGGGCACAGTGGCCGCCCATGTGCCTTATGGTGTGGCCCAGACACCCCGGAGGGCGGCTGCTGCAAAGCAGACTCTCAGTTCCCAATAGCAGAGTCACTTGCTCCAGGCTTCCTCTCACACTTCTGAACCTCATCTGGAGAACTTTCCTGGCCTCCTCACTGTCCACCCTCCTGCATGCTGCCCTCTCCCCTCTGCTTAGGTACTGTAAGGAACTTAGGAAGACTGGGCCAGCATCCTTGCAGTCCCTGCTGGGCAAACATTGCCATGATCCTGACTAGGAAAGCAGGACTCTGCAGGGTAGCTTAGATGTCATGGGGAAATTAGTGGGGCTGAGAGTGGCACCGTCAGAGAAGCCAGGATGCCAAAGAGCTTGGGATGAAAACTCTCCCATGCAGTGCACAGAATGTTGCGTGAGAGAGGGTGGATTTGGCATGAAAAGCAGACCTGGCATGGACTGCATGACTTAAGTCCCCCTTCTTTTTTTTTTTTTTTTTTTCATAA